TGCAAATGTTGACATGATCTATTCGTTGAATATATACACGCAATGCCAGGAGGCTTTAAGAACAATATTATTAAAGCTAAGAATGTGATTGAGATACTTAGATAACACCTTTATAATCTGACTTCAACAACGAGTTGTACAAATACTGCTGAAATATTCACCCAATACAAGGCCCAAAAGCCACTCAAAGTAGAGGGTTACTGTGTGGAGTTGTATTACTATAAAAAAAAAGGGGGGCAAGAAATGAAATTATTGAATTAGTGAATAACACTTCAGGGTTCAAAAGTAAAGGTTTGATATAGACAATGACGAAGTAGACCCCCAACTAATTTCTCAAGTTAAAATGTAGGTCTCGGACTATATTCGCCAAGGTTAGGCTGAGGCCCAAAAATCGTATTATAAAATGTATTCCATTGAATTTATTAAATAAATTCAGTAAGCATATACTTTCCCCTCAGTCAAATTCTAATGTAAATACAGTTGGGAAGATATTGTCAATTAACTACCGCAATCTACAATACCTCATGAGCGGGTCATGTGTTTTTGGTAGGCTATAATGGTAGGCTGAATGATTTTTTCTTCGCTAACCATCCACTCGTTGCATTGTTCCCGAATGCGATCTTCAAACGTCTTGTTGAGACATACATTTAGTTGTGTTTTTGTACATCATCGAAAAAAAGAGACGAGATATTGTCAATTAAATTCCACAAGCTACACTTACCTCCCCACGTGTCGACAAGGACTCAGTATGCTAAACTATGTTTACCAGTCTATTCCTTTAATTATTACTATAAACATCTTTTTCCCCGAACGCTCTGTCTTGCGATGCGCTTGGAAGGCACCCAAAGCCTCGCAATTACTTTGTTTACAGTGTGTGACGATGGTTTGGGATTTCTCTCTTGAAAAATATGCGTTTTATTGTTGTCGTGCAATCAGAGCACATACTATATAAGGTAAGTTGTTTTATTTTATTACATTTCACTTTCATTATTTTATTATAATTATGTGAATTAAGTTGTTTCAGTAAAAATATTTACGTCGATAATTATCAACGCAGGAGTTAGCCTACTTTCAAAAATCTCCCATGCTAACAACTTAACATAAATCACAGGATTTAAGGTTCACATTTTATACTTGGAGTATAAAACGGTCATCTAATTGGGGGGGGGGATTTCTTAGGTTAAAATGTCACCTTGTGCGCCAATATATACGGAACTTGCACAGATAATGGTTTCAAGACACCTGTAATTCACAAGCCAACCTTCAACTGGCTGTATCCAAACCTCAATTCCTGTCATCTGTGTAAATAGATTGTTCAATGCCTACAAAACCGCTCAAAAACCATAAGTGGTGAGCCAGCCACATTACAACAAGAAATGACCTGTATCGAACCTGTATCGAACGTACCCTTCAAAATAGCATCTACCCTGCAAAGATAACATCAGCTTATTCGGCCCAAACAGAAAGGCTACGAAGAACTCGAAGACTACCTCAGTTTGTCTTCTTTATGTCAAAGGCCGGTTGGAAAGGATTCAAAGATCTGCGATCCATAAACATTAGCAACTCGACATTGTGTGGTAATATCTGCTGAGTTATAGAGCAAAACGTGACCTTGAACTATATGTATTCCACTCTTTGTAGTTGTGGCAAAGAATACCACCTAAAACCAGTTATTCCCTAAAAATGAGTCTCGAGGTACAACGAAAAGCCGTTGTGTGCGAAAATGAAATCAAGTATGGCTGATCATGTATAGAGGGAAATATTTAAAATATGCTATTTTTTTACAGTTATATTATTTTGGAGTGTGCGATGCCGCGATGCTTGAGTTCTTGTTCAAATCAATCAAGTGAGAATTTTGTTTCAATTTTATAATGTAATAAATCCACGAAATTTTGTTGTTATATATTTTTTTTTCAGTTAAAGTGACATGGACTTAAGTATAATCCAATTAGTTGAGTAAGATGTCTTAGTAGTTTTCCACATAATCTAAGATTCTGAATGTACTGCGGATCTGATATTCGTAAATATATTAGAGTGAGCAGCTTATATCATAAAGCAGTAATTTATACAAAAATTTAATTAGCATTATTAATGTGATTAATGGCGAAATCACTTCGCTAACATGACTTAATGAGACATTAACTTACTACCAATTCTTTGAATAATACGATCCTTATATTTGTATTATATCCTTATATATATTATATCATAAAGAAGTAATTTATACAAAATTTAATTAGCAATATTAATGTGATTAATGGCAAAAAATGTCTTAGTAAAGTACTTAGCTCGTCAATTCCATCTGACAACAATTTTAATATAAGGATCGTATTATTCAAGGAATTGATAGCAAGTTAATGTCTCATTAAGTCTTGATATAAAGTGATTTCACTATTATATATATATATATATATATATATATATATATATATATATATATATATATATATATATATTATTTGATAGATGTGAGTTTGTGACCTTGGGTTTCACGCTTTAGTACCACTGTATATAATATATAAATAATTATACATATATATATTTATTTATATTTATATACACTTTTCACACACATATATATATATATATATATATATATATATATATATATATATATATATATATATATATATAAAAAGAGAGAGAGATCAAAATATACGAGATTCTGTCCGAAAGTAATATTAAATGCACACAAATCATACCACAATGAAAACGAGCTTCTCGGGGTTCCAAATCAAATCCTCAACAAAGTCTTCTCCCATCTCAATGTTAGTGCGAGGTACGGTGAAAAGGCAATTGCTATTCATCTTTAATTAAAACATCGGTAATTCTACCGGTTGCAGCCTATATATTTGCCAATTACTCATTTTATTCACCCCTTGCTTTTACCATAGACTTCAATCTCTCCTCAAATGAAGAGCGTGACTTCTTCACCGCCTCTTCATTCAAATTGTTAAAAAACGTCATAATAGTTTCTTTCAGATCTGGCACCCTTGGGTAGAAGATGCGAGAAACATCACTCCCCAAAATGAACCATATCGCAATGTCCATAGGATTTTTAGTTCTGGGTATGACGATAAACTACACCCATCATTAAGTCCTGTGATCGGGTTATTAGTGGTTTTGAGGAGCGTGGAACCACCTCTTAATTGCTGGTGTTCCCAGGTCCACCCTGACCCGGGGTGGTAGCACTTGTTAGGGTCCCAGCTATGGGCAAATAGTTAACAATTACCAGCAATACTTTTTTGAAAAAAAACTATTACCAGCAGTACAATTTTGAAGCAAATATATTACCAGAAACAGATTTTTGACAAAACAAAATATTACCAGCAATAAAATTTTTTGTCAGCATTAAATAACCCATTCAGGTTGATATGCTGTAAAATAAAATAAAATAAACCAATCCTCTTGAAACATTTTCTACACATTAAAAACTTAAATTCGACTGCTTTATCACCTCACAATTTTTCATGCAAGCCGTTTTCATTGTGGAGATTTCAGTACATTTTGTTCGAGCCGCCATCTTTAATTAAACTTTAAGTAATAAAGCAAAAGGACGTTATGAAGCCTTGTGCAAAATTTAAAAAAAAAGTTAGGAATAGGTATGTTTCAAATTATGTTTATATAATGGTCAAATATTTATGCGGCATTCGGTAAATAGAAGAAAAAAAACATCGGAAAACCTTTTTATGCCAAAGTGTTTCATTCTTTGATGAACCTTATCTAGGTAGAAACACACATAGCGTACAAAATTTGTACGCAAAATTCGCACGATTCAAAATTTGGACCATTACTTACCTTGTAACTTACCTGTAGCCTGAAGATAACACTGATCTATGCCTTTCCCAAAGTGAAGGTAGTCACCTCAGCCGGTATTTTCTCACGCTTTCTTTTTTAAAATTTTCGATTCTAGGCAGGTAGACATTTCACTGTGTACAAAACTGGATGTCTACCCAAACACATATACCCGCTAAATGAAACGTACTTAGTAATAATAACAACAATAATAATAATAATATATATATATATATATATATTATTATTATTACTATTACTATTATTATTATTACACACGCGCACACACACTACGAAAACAAACGTTCACCAATGATAAGTGAATCTAAAAAAGAAAAAATCGAGAAGTGTAAGCAAAAAATTGCTGATACCCCTCTGACGAGTAGACGGAGCGATTTCTGGAAAGACCGTCACAGAAACTCTGGAGTCAGAATGCTGAAGATAACATCAATCATCTAAGTGAGAAACCTTTTACTTTATTTTATTTTGTTTTACGGTATATCAACCTCAATGGGTATTTTAATGCCGACAATATTTTTCGGATAGGTTCCTAAGAATAGAATATATATTCCTTGTAAGAAGTCCATTTGTAGATCAGGTTTCATCGAGATATTTTTCTAAAAAGTGTTTCTGTCGATAGACAAAATTATTTCTGACAATGTTTATTTTTCAAAAATGTATTGCTGGCATTTTTACTATAAAAATCTCTTTTTATACTTTCATAGTGTTTTGACTCCAGTTTGGGGGTTAACTCTTTGCCCATAGCTGCGACCCTAACAAGTGATACCTTCCTGGGTCAGGGTGAACCTGGAAACAACAGTAATTAAGAGTTGGCTCCTTGCTCCTCATACCCAGACGCAAAAACGCCATATTTATCACAACGTTCCGGCCGCTGTACGCTTCTTCTTCAGGTGGTTGGATTGTCGAACTTAACCCTTTATTTCGCTCGTTGTGGTAGACTGTTCTAGTTCCACGTGCCATGTCTAATGGATATCAGTTATCAGTTATCTCCTGTTAATTCACCTCTCCAATTTCTCCACTTTTTTTTAAAATGTGTTATTGTTAACGGATAAAACCTTTTGGAGCGTGCAGTCGCAACGCTAAGGTTGAATATTTTTTGAAAATTTAAGAGAGTGCGTTGTTTACTAATATGGTAATTTGAGAATCTTTTTGTTGTAGCAGTTGATCAGTCAATGTGGCATGAA